CTATCTTTTAAAAAAAAACTATTGAATTGTAATTTGGGTTGATAATTAACTTAGATTGGTTTTAACTATTTAATAGTTCTATATATAGTATTAAAGCATTCTACAGTATTATTTGTTACCTTTTATATAATAAGTGATTTAAGCTATTAAATATACTAATATTGGCATTAATACTTAGAACCAATAAACTTAAACTACATTAACTAAACTATTATCTGGTACTATTAATAGATCAATTAGTTAATTTGTAGCATAATAAGTAACAAACTTAATTTTATTTTTTATTACTATTATTCTAGTTAACATAAATTTGAGAATCAAATTGGCAAGTACTTTCAAAAGACCTATTGCCAAATTTATAATAGCTATAGTAATATGTTGTTCTTGAAACATACCTGCTGCAAAAAAGCTATATAGACATATTTTGGCCAGAATTGCTTATTACAGATGTTTAAAGAAAGCCAATTTTGATAAAAAGAATCAGCTTAACTTTGGTGAATTTGCTAATATAGATGAATAGTTTGTTGAAAGAAATATCAATAAACTTTAATAAAATATTATTATATAAAAGAATTGTAATACTAATAATGTGAAAAAAAAGCATACATCTGAAACTTTAATCTATTAGCCTAAAATTTATTATTTTTCTTATTTTATTTAGTTCAGTTTCTTATAATTGATCTAATTTATTGTCTATTTTTAAATATTGCCAAATAGATCATTAAATTATAGATAGAAAAAGACATTTTAATATTACATGATCTTGTCTTAATAGAAAATTAGACTAATAAATTGATAGTTCTGACTAACATTGGTAGAATTTTCTACAAAATTGCTATAAGTGAAGGGTTTTTAAAATTTATAGCAGACCAATAGAAGACCTTTATACTAGTATATGCAATGTCAATTACTTGAAACTTGCTGTATAAAAGTAACTAACAAATTCTTATCTATCTTGTTTGTGCATATTCTATTCTGATATGTTAAATTATATCTGTAAATAGATTAGAAGAAACATGCCAATATTTTTTTAAAATAGTGAAGCTCATTAAAAAAAACTATGATCCTAAAAAAATAACATCTAATTTACATTTATATTTATATATATGTGAATGTATTATAAACTATGAGCAAGTATATGCATTTTGGTGATTTAGTTATGAATGAATAAATAAATTGTTGGGTTAGTTGCATCAATTAAATTAATAGTCATATTAATTGCTAATAGTTTATAGATTTTAATATATTTATAAGTTTATTTCATAACAATAACAGAAGAATAAAAGCAGAGTTTCTTAAAATTATACAATATAATTCTCTTCTTAATAAACTTTTATTATATGCAAATAGTTATTAGAAAACCTGTTTGCAGTTTATTGAGTAAAAAAAGTAATTAATATTCTTTCTTTCTCTTCTAAAAATAACTACTAAGAGTTTTTTTTAATGTTTATAAATGTTAAAAAAAGGTTAAAAACAGGCTCTAAAGCATTTCTAAGAGAATTATTAAAGTCTAAAAAAGATCTGACAGAAGATTCTGAGTGAATTAATATTATTATTACTAAATTATTACAAAAATGCATATTATAACAATTTTTACTTATTAACTGAAATATATTATAAGTCTCCAGATTTATAATAGTAGTAACAAGAGTTACTATTTATGAAAGAATAAAAATTAGCAATAAAGTATTTAGATCAACCTTTTTAAAGAGACATATCAAGTTGTCCAAAATATTAGCAAAATTCATTTAGATAATAGTACTGTTAATATATAACTTAGTATAGTTCAATATTATTTCAAAATACAGTAAATCTACTGATAGGTCAAAAAGGACATATACTAGCCTTTGTATAATAGTATTAAGCTATTAACAACCAAAAAACTAGATATTATTGTCAAACTAATAATATCTATAATATTGAACTATAAAATAAAAGTTCTATAATTTAAGTTAAACTGTATAATTCTGGTTTATAATATTTTAGATTAATTTATTTCTAGATCTGTTAAAGTTAAGAAAAATAATCTATAAAAATATATGTTTGTTATTTCTATTAATAGAAAATTTTATATTTAATTTTTTGTATAAAAATAATAATTAATTATTAATATTTCTCTAAAATTACTTTTAATTTATTAATAAATACATGTATATATTGTTTTATAAATAATAAATATGATTGTTACAATTTTAAAAACATTTTGAATTTTTTTGAACTACTAATAAGGCTGTTGATTTACTAATTGTTTTTCTAAAATAACTAACTATATATAAATAATTATCAATATAGTCAATAGATAATTTTGTTATTTTTTTTTTTTAAATATTAAGATGAGTACTTGTAATTTAAAATTTTATTAATAGTACATTCAGCTAATAGTTGCATTATAATTACAGAGAGTAATTATAAAAAGAATGCACAACTAGCCATTTGTATAAGTTTAGTTATTATCTAATTTAAGTAGTCTATCTGCAAGTTCTACACTAACTATTATACTTAGAACTTGCTTGTAAGTTCTCTATTTAAACACTTTAGTTCCTATATCCATCCATCTACCTATATTTACTAAGATGCTCTGATTAATATTAATGCAAATATGCCATAGTTACTAAGTCTTTAAAGTGATTTACTCATATAAAGAACCTTTGACTTTGTACTAAACCTTTTGAAATCTTTTATATTTTATTTTTATATCTGATCTAATATTGCTATGACTAAGACTAACATTTGCAGTCAGAATATATCATTAAACTACTATGCCCTTGTAGAGTTCACCCCAATTCTGATACTGACTTTACAACATATCTCTACTATTTTGGTATTTAATTTAAATTCTATCAAGCTGCTATTTCAGATAGCTTGAAAAAGTAGACCATAACTACATCTCTAGTTTATATGTTCTTTAATATATATTTTTTTTTCTAAAATCTGAAAATTTTATAAACTTGTTAGTTCATCTGGTCTATTTTCAAAAACCAGTACATTTGTCTAGTTTTACAAGTTTTAACTCTATTTCATATATTTAGTCTTTACAATAGCATCATTGAAAGTTCAGGTTACTTTTCTATTTAGATTTTTCAAATAGCTTCCATCTTTTTACCTGATTTTTGTGATTTACATAATCTAAGAACTTATTATAAGTTTATATTACTCAGTACTAGTTTGTGTTCCTTTATACAATATTGTACAAATGCCTAGATCTTATAGTTATGCTGATATAACATGAGTTACAGATATCTAATCCCAACCAATTACAGAAAATAGTTAAACATAATACAAAAAGAATTGCAAATTTTTGCTATTATTGGAATTTGAACTCTAGACCTGCCACTTAGGGTTAACAACCTGACTACTTTACTAAGTTACTATATATCTAATTTTGTTATTGTTAATTAAACATTATTTATATGAATTAATGTATTAATTTATATTATTCAATTATATTATTAAAATTCTAATATTAAACCAATACTAGATAAAATAATAAGATATATTTAATATTTATATATTTCCAGTATTATTAATTCAATATTTATTACAAAATATTTAATATTATTTTGATATTTTTTCTATAGTTATATAAATTATCAAATTAATATCAGCTTTCTGATATTTCTATCAATTTATTTGTAATATTTCTGATATTTTAATAAGAAATATTAATAAAATATCATTTACTAATATTAATCTAATTATTGACTGACTGCATACATGCTAATATAGTTTTATTTGACCTGTGTATATAGTGTGAGCCTGATTTTTAGGATTACAGGTCACAAGGAAGGTGAACGTATCGAAGTGACGATCCTGACCCAATCCGAGGTCACACGAAAGTGACGGAAATGTTACTTATATTACTTACATCACTTCTGCTACTTCGACCATATATGCGTTAAATGACATATTAGCCTTTTATTACATTTAGCTAATATCCAGAGTATAAGGAATATATTGCATTTATGGTAAAAATTAATTACCAATGTAAACAAACCATTTATTATAAATAAAGGGCATTTCTGCCTTGGGAAAAGACAATTTCCCCACTTCCTGCATTTCTAATAAGAGAATCGTCCCATATACCAATAAATCCCCTAGTAATACTAAATATCTGATCTTTAATAAAATATAAGTGTTACCCTATACAAACTAATAAACTATCGTTAATCTCATCCCTAACATAATCATTCGTTCATAAACCACTGCAACCACCTTTGGACGTTTGCCTCAGATCACGTGACCAAGCCGTTAACGCAAGAGAAGGATCCAACTCCGATTTGACGTATCGTAAGCCAGTTTAAGTCATACAAGAGCAGAGAAGAGAAGGCAAGGGTTAATAGAAGAATAGGTTAAAGGAAGGACTGAGAAAGAAGAGAAGAATAGTACTTATCTACGGATAAACCACCTAGCAAAATCTAACACACCTATTTCGACTTAGCTGCTATAGGTTATGCGAAGATTGGATTAGAGTAGCAACCGAATCACCGATTCCAGAATTACATTTGGTGGTGACTGTGAGATCCGAAAAGAAACTTGAGTTAGTAAAAGTAAATGCCCTATCACAAGAATAAATGAAAAGAAATACTTATTTTAATAAAGAAACCCTACCACCTTGTATATCAAGAAGTCTCCAGGATGGTAAGAAGCCTCAGAAGAGCGTAGAAAAGAAGACCTTATATTTGAACAATAATAAAAAAAGAAATATAAAAGTTAGTAAAGATCTGAGCATGAAAGAGTTAGAAAAAAAATGTGCAAAATTGTCCGCAATACTTACCCACGAACAAGCTATAGAGTTTCAAGAAATCATTGATAAAAAATTTGGAAATCATGAAATCAACAATAAACAAATTCTCCAGGCTCTGGAATTTGTTTTAAAAGTCTTAGAAAACATAACTATGAATGATACAGAAGATATCATATACATACCCACAGATATAAATATAAGCCCTGGCCCAACCTTACAAAAGACAAAGTCCAAAAGAAATAGAGACAAGAAAATAATGGTGTCTAAAGTCCTTGATGCCTACTATGATGTTCTAGAAGATCCGGCTGGAGTAGAAGTTGACCTAGATAAACTTCTTCAAGAGTTAGAAGCCGAATGCAATTCTATTGCAAGAAAATGGCCCTGTCAAGAAAAAGAAGCTATCGAAATAGAACCTTGTCAACACAATAGAATCATTGTTAAAAAGAATAGACAAGGAATGAAAATTAGAGCTTATGAAGATGATGTCACCAGACACATCTTACTTAAAGATGATGCAGAAAAAGATGAACCAAGTGATGCGAATGATAGCAGGAATGATGATGACAATGGTGATAACAATGATAATGGAATTGGAGTTGAAAAGAATAAACGTAAAGCCTTTGAATACCATCAAAAATCTACAGAGATGGTGAATGTCGATAGAACAAGAGAAGTCAGACATTGTTATCAGAATGAAATTGGAGTCAAAAAGAATGAATAGAAACCTTTCGAACATGATCGAAAATCTGCAGAGATGGGGAATGCCAATAGAGCAAGAAAACATTGTTATCGAAATGGAATTGGAATCAAAAATAAAGACTGTAAAGCCTTCGAATACTATCAACAATCTGCAGAGATGGGGAATGCTAATGAAACAAGGAAAGCTGGACCTTGTTATCGAAATGGAATTGGAGGTAAAAAGGATGAACGTAAAGCTTTCAGACCCTATAAAAAATCAGCAGAAATAGGGAACACCGATAAAACATTTAATGTCAGTAAAAATGTTGAAGAAGTTGAAAAGGGTGAACACAAACCTAGTGGACTAGTGAACAGCAGACATGGCTTGGGAGATGAGCTAGAAGACTTGATCGACTGTTACCTGGAAATTCCAACGACCTGGATGCCTAAATTGGATATTCCTGAAGAACTGAAATCTGCTGAAACAAATAAATTTAAGGCATCCACTTAATATCAAAAATCTGCAGAAATAGGGGATGCTGATGCAATATATTATATTGGATATCATTATGAAAATGGAATTAGAGCTGAAAAGAATAACCAAAAAGCCTTTGAACATTGTCAAAAATCTACAAAGATGGTGAATGCCAATAGAACTAGGAAAGTTCGACATTGTTATCAAAAAGGAATCGGTGTCGATAAGAATGAACACAAAGTGTTCGAGTATTATCAGAAGCTGCAGACATGGGTTATACTGATGAGTTATTCGGTATTGGTGTTTGTTATTAAGACGGAACCAGTGTTGAGAAGGATGAAAAAATGCGTTCAAATATGTTCAGAAAGCTGCAGACATGGGTCATGCTGGTGGAACAATTAATACTGATCTTTGTTATCACAATAGAAATGGTGTCAATAAGGACAAACACAAGGCATTTGAGTATTTTCTAAAATCTCTAGACATGGGTCATGCCAAAGGAACATTTAGTGTTGGTATTTATCATGAAAATGGAATTGAAGTTGAAAAGGATAGCCATGATGACAATGACGATGGGGATAATGATGATAACGGAGATAACAATGACAATGGTGACAATAATGATGATGGTGGTGATGACGATGATAAGATGATCTGTGATGAAGACAATGATGGACTTGAGATTGAAAAGGATACAGACTAGGAACCAATGAATAACCCACCTTCTAAACTTGAGAGGTTCGAAGCAGCAAATAATCAACTGCATTATAAGCTTGAACCACCTGACCTCTGAATAATCTGTGAAAAATGGATAAATAAAGTGAGTAAGTACAGAATGATGTACAAAGAAAAAGTGAAAAAAGAAGTATCGAACCTTTCTGAACTTGAGTCACCAACAAACTGATTTAGAAGTGGAAAACTGAAGGCAAAGAGAATTGAAAAGGTTATCGAATGTGTAGAGGACTGAATGTAGAAGGAAATAGATCGTGTGTGCAGAAACCAAAGCTGAACTGAAATTGTGAAAAAGTAAGTCTGAAGACTGATGGCGAATCTGGTGAACTAGAAGAAAAGTCATGGGAATTAGAAAAAGAAAAGTGAAACAAAAGCAAAAATAGTCAGAAAGAATTGGTTAAACTCATCTTCCAAAAGAAGCTAACACCGAAAGATCCTGAATTGATACCACTCAAAAGGAAGCTATCACCAAAAAAGAAGGTCGATGAAATCGAAATAATATTAATCGAACCAGAGCCACCATCTGAGAGAGGAGCTAACGATGAAGAAAAAGAACCTAGAGATAAAATGCAGTAGAAAGAAGTTAGTAAAATAGATCGAAAATGGAAAGACAAAGAACAAGAAGAATACTTCCCTCCTGTAATCGACTTACGAAGAACCCCACCACCGAAGCATGGATTTAGAGTTTCTATGGCATACCTGTTTATGCGTGGTATGCATAAACTAAGTAGAGGAGAAATGTGAGCCTGATTTTTAGGATCACAGGTCACAGGAAAGGTGACTGTATCGAAGTGACGATCCTGACCTGATTCGAGGTCACACGAAAGTGACAGAAATGTTACTTATGTTACTTACGTTGCTTCTGCTACTTCGACCATATATGCGTTAAATGACATATCAGCCTTTTATTACATTTAGCTAATATTCAGAGTATAAGGAATATATTGCATTTATGATAGAAATTAATTACCAATGTAAACAAAATGGTTATTATAAATAAAGGGCATTTCTGCCTTGAGAAAAGACAATTTCCCTACTTCTCGCATTCCTAATAGGAGAATCGTTCTATATACCAATAAATCCCCTAGTAACACTAAATATCTGATTCCTAATAAAAGTATAAATGTTACCCTATACAAACTAATAAACTATCATTAATCTCATTCCTAACATAATCGTTCGTTCATAAACCACTGCAACCGCCTTTGGACGTTTGCCGCAGATCACATGACCAAGCCGTTAATGCAAGAGAAGGATCCAACTCTGATTCAACGTATCATAAGCCTGGGTTAAGTCATACAAGAGCAGAGAAGAGAAGACAAGGGTTAATAGAAGAATAGGTTAAAGGAAGAACTGAGAAAGAAGAGAAGAATAGTACTTACCTACGGATAAACCACCCAGCCAAATCTAACACGCCTATTTTGACTTAGCCACTATAGGTTACATAAAGATTGGATTAGAGTAGCAACCGAATCGCCGATTCTGGAATTACAATAGTATTAATGTTTATTTCAGATAATAATTACTATATAAAATTTTATTTAGTATCTAATTTTTTATTTTTTTATACAGGAGTAAGAATATAACAATATCACTTTAAAAAAAGATAAATCATATAATTTTGAAGCTTGATTTTTTTATAAAATTATATAACTAAAACTATTATAAAAAACTTAATTAATATTTAGCAGTTGCATATAACCATATTGGCTATCTAACTTTCTAATAAAATGAATTGTTATCTAAGTCTACTTTTTTATTTTCTCTAGCTAAAAATGTTATATTAATATTTTTTATTTTTTTAATATTTACATTTAAGTAGTTATAATTAAATTTTAAATACAAATATTTAACTAATATTTTATATAATTATAGTTAGTAGTTTAAATATTTATAAAATTTAAATGAAATATTAGATAAATATAATATATTTTTTATAATTAAATTTTAAATACATATATTTAACCAATATTTTATTTGATTATAGCTAGTAATTTAAATTTTTTTTTTTTTAAAGCAGCAATCTTGTTTATATGTTTTTTTATTAAATAACATATATGATTACATTATTATATACAAAGTCTATTAATAAGACTACAATTAACTACATGTACAACTTTAGTCATTGTCTATTTAAAGGCTCCACCTACAGGTTACCTACTAATTGCCATATCTGAATTCTGCCTGTGAGTTTCCTATTTAAAGTCTCTGATTTTTAACTTTATTGCATATATGTGCAACTCTTATATTATTATTGTATTGATATATCAGGTTAGGACTACCTGGTTACTATTTATATCAAAGTACCACCCTATTGGATGTTACTGAGTATCCATAACCCTCGATTCATCCTCAATGCAAGCTTATTAAGCTGGTACCAAGATTACCACTTAGATCTGATTTAGTGTAACCTGTATTTACTAAACTAATTTTAATGTCAGAGGTGTTCAAATTTCAGTAAGTCCATTCCTTTTCCATAGTTTCCTTTTATGTTTACTGTATCACCCACTAGTACACCTTCTTTTCATTTCTGGTATGTCCACTGCTTCTCTTACATCGAGCACCAACTCTTCATATTGGGAATCTTTTTTCTAGGAACTTTCTTATACACTAATTTTCTATTCACATGGACTTAGCCACAGGGCTTCACATACATTCATATGCTTTCATAGATTACAAAGTTTTTGCCTTCAGCTGGAATTGAACTGTTGACCTTGTCTGTGGAGAAAAGGTGCCTAGACCACTAGGCTACGGGACCTCATCCCTTAGTTTAAATATTTATAAAATTCAAATAAAATATTAAATAAATATAATGTATTTATTATAATTAAGTTTTAAATACAAATATTTAATTGCTAAAGTTAAACAATATAAGCTAAATATAAAAATATTTATCATTTTGCTAATATTTATCTAAAAATCAAAATATAATATTTTAACCAGTGAAAGATGAGCGTACAACTAGCTACTGTATCCTATCAGAAATAAGCACCCATATAACTACAATTGTCAATCTTGAATAAGCACCTTCGTGACTTAATTGTATGGTCTCGAGTGTTCGATAATCCAAAAAAAAAAAAATTTGAAATTACAGTAGTTTAATTGGTGAATCATGAAATTTTAGATAGCGATGATCCTATCGTGAATAAGGATTCGCTGCTATGTCCAAAGTGAGTGCTTGATTATTCACGATAGGATACGGTATATAATTAATATATATTTATAAATTAATTTTAAGGTTAAGATTAGTTATATTTATGCAATACCGTTTTTACATTTTGCATAATTTACCCAAAGTAAGTCATTCTGGCGGATTGGCGGAATTGGACCTTTACTCGGAGACTCTAAATTTGAACCCTAAATTTACCTATGTACGAATATTTAAATATTTGAATAATTGATTATTAATTCATTTTTTATAATAAATATGTCATTCACTGATATATTAACTGATATCCGTATAACTTGTAAATTCATTACCCTTAAAATAATTAGTTTAGGGTCTAATTAAAAAGGGCCAATTCCGCAGATCCGCCAGAATGTTTAGACTACTATTTTTTGTATTTTTTAGATTCATTTTTTTTTTGTCAATGATCACCAAAATTCTATAATTTGACCAGTAGTCACATAATTTGTAATTTATATTCACTTTGGATGAACTCATATATGGAAATAATTTAACATCACGTAGATTAATTTTTGACAAATGAAATCGGATTATGTTTCGTTTTTTAAATGCTGATTAATAGAAGGAAACGTGACTGAATCTTCACCCGGTGTGCAAAATATGAAAAATTGATTTTACAATACCAGATCATTCCTCTAGTACATGTTATGATTATAATCTCACACCAGTTTTACTATAGTAAAATGGTGTGGATTATATTCACAACATGTACTAGCGGAATGATCTGGTATTGTAAAATGGTTTTACCAGGAACGGAGTTTGTACAACGTACAACGTAGTGTATGGTTTACAGGCAAGTTAATATGTCTGTGCGATTCTCAGCATATGATAGGGTAATCTGTCATCGTGACTTTGTGTAGCACTCCAAACAATACTTTAAAATGTAGGTACCAGGAACAACTTATTAATTATTCAATATTTTTAAAAAAATATAAATGAGCGCATACATCTGTAAAATCGAAGATGCTATAACAAACGATAGTAAAAATAAGTTTTTTAGGCACAAAAATTATATAAATTAAAAGCCTCAATGCTAAATATAAGATAATCACTGATCGTTAAGGACTTAATCGAAAGAATTTGTCGATCATTCCAAAATACAGATATGTTTCGTAGATTTTAATGTTTTTTGCAGGGCCCAGAATTTTGGGTCAGATTCATCGGAACTGAGTGATGCTAGCTAACCAACTATATAGCAGTCAGAAATTGACTCCATTAATAGGTTTTTAGGCTCAGTCACTGAAATTCAAACCAATATTCAGATTGCAAGTACTATCAACTTCTTTTATAAAGTGCCATTTTCTTATACCAGGAATGGATTGCAATGCAGAAAATGTTTCCCGTGACTGAAATGGTGTCTGCATAGATTTCTCCCGTTCCTGGTTCCGTGCGACAACGTTGCGCAGCTACTTATTTTATATGTTGCACACCGGCCGAAGGATCAATCTTGTAACATCGACGGTTCCTCCTGTTATGAAAATATTGATGTTACACGAAAATGATTTACGAAAATCATATTTGTTTGACGAACATGAGTATGTCCATCGGCTTCGTACATGCCTATGCTGTTGTGACACAACTCTAGTATTTATACGAATTTGTCTGTCAAATCTAGTATAAAGATAAAGACATTTAATAAAATAATAAACATTTATATGCACAAATTCATTATGACTTTAGCTTGTATTTTTGGCAATTTTTGGGTACAGTATTTATTGCTAGGAAGTGAATTGCTTATTTTTGTTTGAATTCAAATCAGTACACGTTGTAACAAAATTCCAAATTAAAGCCTGAAGGATTTCTATTTTAGTACCTTTGTGTTAATGACCTGTCCGCTAATACTGTTATACGTAAGGTTCTTATCGAAAGTAAATATAGTACAGTCAAACTCTGTAAATTTTATATGCAGTGTTTAAAAATTGGCATGCACAAGATGCACATGTGCAAAAAGTTTGTACAAAATTTTTATTAAAGTTATATTTGTGCAAGTTAAAAAAAATTTTTATGTAATTGTCAAGTAACTTTCATTATGAATTTTAAAAACTGCCTATGTGAAAAAATCGACCAATCTTGCATTTAGAGTATTGCATTTAGGTGATAGAATATATAAGCACCATATGAGTTGGGACCGAGCAGAACTATGCATTTACAGGATTTCTTCGTGGACAGTACACTCGAGGAGGTTGTGTTCGAAATGGTTATATTAAGGAGATTTGACTCAATATATAACCTCAAATGTTATAACTAATGACTTGATATTTGATACTTGTTTGAATGAACTATTGAGGATCATGCGATTTCATTTAATTAGGTTAATAATTAAAATTATTGTATAACTATAAACTTAAATTGTGCATGTGCAATCTGATGACCAATAAAAATACTTAAAAATTCCGTGTTTGTAGATACATACCTTAGTACCTGTCTTAAGAACTGTTAAAAATCTTATTGAAGTTGGTTTTTGAGTTGACTTAGCAAGAACCTTCAAACCTACTCTTGAGCAAAAGCTTTTACTCCTTGCATTTTTATATACCCCTTACATATTAACACAAATTATGCATATATATGCATAATCAGGGACCGTTAATATTACACACATATTAAAACTGGTGAGGATTATATCTATCACATATGCTATATAAATAATTCTATTTTAATTGATTACGAGTGTGTGGAATTAGACATGTAACATTAACGGTCCCACATCGATAATCAGGCATAAATATGCGTGGTTATGCAAGGGGTGCACAAAATATATAAGATATGTATAAAAATATGCAAAGAGTACATAAAAATATGTAAAGGGATTTGTATTATATAATAAGCTAACATCAGAACTGACTTGAAGTTAACTAACTTTTAAGCCAACTTGAACTTTTAACACCTCTAGTTTTAAGTACTTACTAGTTAGTAAAGATGACTTTTACAATAACATCGTTAAGACCAACTTTATGTATTTTTACGTTATTCATATTATTCTTTTTTACCCTTTGGAGCATTAACAGATATTTCTACACTAAACTAGAGGAAATTGAAGAAATAACATCGGAACAATCAGACATCAATATAAACAGAAAATATTGTACTGCAGATAAATGTAAATTTTTATTCACGTATACTGTTGAAGAGCAAGAATCTCAGTCAAATAGACATTTTGAATCTCTCATACAAATTGCGCAGCAACTGGGCCGCACAATGGTGTTAACTAATGTTGAAAAATCTCGAATATCATCACGTAATCATTTCCCTTTTAACTTTTATTATAATGTTGATGAATTAAGTAAAGAATTTCCTCAAGTAAAATTTATTTTACAATGTGAATTTCAAAAGTGGGCCGAAGAGCGATACAATAAATCAGATACCATACATGTGGTGCTTGAAAATTCAAAGTCTAATCCAAATTATACGGTTCAATATGACACTCCATATATTGATGAACTTGTAAAAGAATATGAAATGGATAGATTTAATTTAAAATTAGATAATTCAACAATATTTAAACGAATAAGCATCGGTACTAATGGTAGATCCCCGAGAAAAGGTGGTAAAAACAATGACCTAAAAAATTTTTTATCAGAAGAATTAGAAAGTAATGCTGAAGTTATGCTGATAACACAGAAAGGAATACGAGGCCCGATATTTGAAAGACTTACACCGATACCATATGCAAGTCATATAACTAATGCGGCTTCAAACCTTACAAACCAACTGAAACCATATATCGCAATTCATTGGCGTATGGAATCAGCCAAATTAAATCTGATGCCAAAATGCGCTGAAAGTCTTGTTACTTATCTAAGAAATCTTTCATTAACAACTGGAATTACGACCATTTATTTGGCTACGGATTATCCACTTGCCGAATATAAGAATAAGACAGCACAGTCAGAAACATTTAGTCATATATATGAAGAACACCATACAGCAATGAAAATTTTAAATTCTTCACTTAATATAAACACTTGGGTTTCAACACACGCGTTAGATTATCTTCAATTAACACTAGATCCTACAAAAAAGGAACTCCTACTAAAAGAACTTAGTGGTGGTGGTATCCAAGGAATCTTTGATAAATTAATTTTAATACAAGCCGATTATTTTATAGGCGGTCCCAAAAATTGTTGTAGATACTTAAGTACTTATACATTACAAGTTGAGGAAGCAAGGATGCAATTACTTAAGAATAACGGAACAATTAAAAATAAAATTGATCGATGGAAACTATATTAGTTATATTAATAATAAATTTTTTTAGGAGAATTTACACATAAGGGTCCAAAAATGAAAATAATTGCCCAAAATAAAAATTCTTACACATAGCAGCCCTATAGTAGTCCAAAAATCAAATTTTATTATAAATAAGAGCCTGTCCGATCTCCGAGCTATACTACATTGCGTTGCCTAGAAAAAGGTAGCCGAATTAAAATAATTATACAATATTACTAAAATAGCTTTAAAATGCAATTAATTTTTTTATACAAAAAAAACCAAAGGTGCTCTTCATAAACCTCCCTAACGAACTTATAACTTTACGAATTTTAATACATTGATTAAAAAGATTTTATACATAACTAAATATAATAGCACTAATAAAATATATAATAAAATCCTTTGTATTTACTAGATAAATTAACATTAATAAATAAGAAGCAAAGTACAAAATATTCATGAACTTAAATAACCTATTTAAACGATCAATCAAAATTATATTTTGTGAATTCAACATGACAAAACTTCTTAAAGTGAAAGTGAAAGTCAAAACGAAAGTCAAGAGAAGGCCAAAGTCAAAGAGAAGGCCAAAGTCAAAACGAAGTCATAGTGAAACAAATTTATAAGTTAAAGCGAAAGTCAAAGCGAAGGAGAGTCAAAACGAAAGTTAATGTCAAAACGAAAATTAAAGCGAAGTCAAAGCGAGAGTCAAAATGAAAGTCAAAGTAAAACGAAAATTAAAGTAAAAATCGAAACGAAAACCAAGTCAAAACAAAGGTCAAAATAAAAATCAAAATTCTAATGTTTATCATTACTGTATTAAGGCCGTTCGAAGTTGATTCTTCGGTTAACATCACCCCCCTCCCGAAAAATGAACAACCAATCAAATTGTCTCATATTTGTTCAATCTATATGTTCGTTTAATTTTATCTCCCAAGAGTTCTGAAAGTGATGTTAACCGAAAATTCAATTGCAAGCGTCCAAAGCATGATAAACATAACTTTACCGGTAATCAGTTTTCGAAGTCATATGTAAGCCAACAAAAAACCCGGCCACTATTTTTTCTGGGCGATGCTATGTAAGTCTTACAGCTTAGTCTCCTAGTATAGCTCGGAGATCGGACAGGCCCTTATTTGTGATAATTTTGATTTTTTGCCGCTACGTGACGAATTTTTATTTTGGGCCTCATCTGTAATTATTTTCTTTTGGGCCTCTATGTGTAAATTTCCCAATCTTTTAATGAAATTTGGCACGTGCATTTGGGAAATTACAGTGATATCTATCTTTAAACTGTCTAGCAAGAAAATTTTCCACCTAAAATACTTTCTATTTTTATAATTTCTACATAATAATTGCAAAAACGTTAATTATTAGCTGGTTGGCTTTGTAATAGTTGCAGATGATAACTGATTATTATTCACTCGGATACAGGTAAACATGATCTTCGAGTCAGATTTTAAGATTAGGAACAACATAATACGATCAAGAAGATTCAAAACAAACGTTCGTTCTGCCAAAAATCGCTATAACACAAAAATCAGCGTAAGAACCCAATTTTTATGCTCTAATAAAAAGGGTTCGTTGGACAATTTTACTATTACAACTGCACCCTTCTGACTCTTACCTGACCTTAACCTTAACGAAATTTTATCTGCGCCACCAACATGATACACATTTCCAACTACAATATACGTATATAAATATATTTTTACTATCAAAATTGGCGAAACTTTGCACCCTTTTACATGATACTAGATGAACAGGAAAAAATTGTCTTTTTTTGGTTTGTTTTTTCTTTCTTACACAAGAAAACGTTTTTTCATATTGCAATACTATAAATATCATCACGATAATATAAACTACTAGACCAGGTAGCTCGAACTTAAACTTACTTATTTTGAACTAGAACAAGACTAGACAAACGATCTAATATCCTTAATTGTATTGATTCATTCAATATATGAGTGCTGTGACGAAAAATATGCCATTGGACTTTCAATTTCCAGTGAATGCCGTCTATAGAAAATCTATTCTCGGCTTTTGTGACAATCAGTGCATGAAATCTAATGTCTTATGTTCTCAAGAGAACATACTTTTGGATTTGAGAACATTTGTTACTTTGAACATGATCTCTATAAAAAAATTATTGAGAACATATTGCATGATAAATATGTTCTCTATATAGTATAGTATGAATAAAGTCAACAATTAAAAAATAAGTAAAGTCCGAAAAATTCTGGAAAGAAAATGAACGAACATAAAAGATGAGCGAGTTTGGAACAAAAATTTGAATAAATTACCGATATTTTCTGAAATTTTCAAAAAATGGTAACAGAAATTTTTGCTGTTGAGAGCATAAAAATATTTTTGAGAACATTTAATTAAATAATTGTGTTCTCATGAGAACATAAATTTCAAGCCAAATTTCCAACACTGGTGGCAACTTGCCACAAAACAGAATTGGAAGCCTGATGATAATTTTTACATAAACAGCACACAATAAACAAACTGGACATTGAAAGCCCGATGACAGGTTTCCCTTGACAGCATTCATATTCATTAATTTCCCAAATCGATTAAATTAATGGCCACAACGATTATTATACATATTAATTTCTTATCTCGGTTCACTGTTGGAGCTAAATTAGACAATATAACACTGGCGGCTCTTCCGAACCATAGCAACAATAAACAACAATTCGGGCTTTGGATAAGATAAGCAAATAACCTCTGGTTTTGAAATTCATAACTAATAAATTCAATTTAATTTTACATTATTTATACAGTTTAGAGTACTTTTTTAAAAAAAAACGAAAACCAACCATA